GTTAGGCGCTGAGACATGCTCTTATGTTACTAGACAGAGAAAATGGTCTATGATAATATTCACAAAGGAGTAAACTGACTTCTCGAACCATAGGAGCCACATACACAGGAGAGAAAGAGAGTGTCTCAAGAAATATCTCAACACTAGGTTGCCTTACATTAGATTTGATACCACATAGGTAAACATTATGACGGTGCATGCATAAGCACAAGTGAGTAGATGTTATCCATTTGAATCAAAAGGTTCTGTAAGAAATTCATCAGGTATAGTCCCTTGTTGAGAATTTAGGGAAGCAAGTGGGAAGTATTAGCCTAGGGTTATAACTCAATTCCTCAAGATATTGTAAGTAAAAGAAGTGTGATAAAGTGGCTTCACGAATAATGTGTCTCGTTAAGAGTAGGTACATGCAATGTTTTGTTATTTAGCATCTTGTTAAGACCATATCTATACAGGCTCTCAATATAGATGTACATATACTATAAGGAAAAGTATGTGGTGTTCAAAATGATGTACTAAGGAGTGACTTACTTGGTAACTTTAGATTGACAGGGCAGGGCCTTAACTGATGCCCCTCGACTCCACATCCGTAACATACATTGGTACCATAGTGACATACCCGCGAATGACACCTACTACACTTCACACAACGGGAATGAGGTCTGCTAAACTGACTCGCCCAACCGACCTGATATTTACCCTTCTTGCATACTTCATAAACATCCCCCTTATCCTTCCTCCAGGACTTTATGGTGGGAGTAACAATCCCTATACTGGTTTGCTGTGTGGGCCTTTGGAATTACCCAAATCTACCACCCCTACCATGCTGATGATCATACTCACGACACGATGCCAAATATTCCTTCCCGCATATCGGGCAGACCGGGATGAGTGTACCCAACCTAGGGCATTTGTTCTTCATGTGCCCCCTCTTTCCACAACCATAGCATATTTCAAGAGTCATCCAATATCTCCCCAAGTGGCGCTTCTTACAAATCAAACAATCTGGCTCATTGGTACACACAACCCTCTTTCATTTCTTAGATGCTCTCGCCACATGATCCGGTGGTGCGGTGCTATTGATAGGAGAAAGGACACTTCCTTTAGCAACGAGTTCTTCCAATCTCTCCATGGCTTGACACATTCTCCAAACAAACTCTCGTGCAATCTCCCCCAGATTCAATGGCGATGTCATTCCCTCATTCCTGTTCGAAGTCGTGTATTACACATCTGTAAAATGAGACATGACGAGGAAATTAGCTTCATATCTTGAGCTCTATCATACGATCTGGAGTATCAAAGAAGGGTGAAATTCTTAAATGTCCAAGTAGCCTTCTAATTATAGATGTGGTCGACAACACACTAATAAGAAGAACTCTACTAGACACGGCTCCGAGACATCCTAGGACACTTTAAAACCTTAGGCTCTAATACCAAATTTTCATGCCCAGACCTCGTGGAGTGCGACCGTCACTCAATTGAGATAACTCGACCGAGCAAACTATACAATACCTTCTACCAAAACTCACCCATGAATAAAGAGAAGATATATTTCATTGATTAACCATTGAGAGGATTTAATGAACAAAACCAATTACATTACCATTAGTTGCTTCATTCATAATTCCCAAAATATATTACACATTCATAATTTGAAGTGGATCATGTGATACAATTACAACATATCTAGTTTGACTCTTCCAACACAACTATACAACCCACACTATGTTTACGGAGCCTCTAAGTATAACCGAAGAGTAATATAGAGGTGTCGGTGACAAGGCCTCGGCTATGCCTCAAAACATAAAGTACAACGTCAAGTGACATATGGCCCAGAATAGAGTGGGGCTCATGAAAACCTGCTAAACAGAAAATAACTGCTAACGAAGATCAAAGTTGCCCGCTGATGAACTACCTGCATCTATTGAAGATGCAGCACCTCCGGCAATAAGGACGTTTGTACATGTGGAATAGTACTAGTATGTGAATCTAAATGTCCTTTTTAGAAATAGAATGCCAATATAAGAAGGGAAAAACCATGGAAGCAACAAGTAACAATCAATGATATCCAAACATCAAGTTATAACAGAAAAATTTTCAAAGTACAAAAATAATATTATTTTTGGTTGGGAGATCATTAGTACAGATATACCACCAGGCTTTAGCACGAAGTCCCATCATGGCCCGATCGACTAGGCCGTATCACCACAATGTCATGTGGATCAACATCACCCTCTGCTAGCAATCATCACATCTCGATTAAGGGGAATATTCTCAATCACAACCACAATCACAATAACAATCTCTATAAAAAGCGGTCATGCCGCCTCACCCTAATGTGTGCAGGTGGAGGTGTAATCGCAATACCACAATCTCTACACAAAGCGGCCTTGCAACCTCACCCTAATGTATGAAAGTGGAGGTGTAATCACAATACCACAGTCTCTATACAAAGCGGCCCTACCGCCTCACCCCAATGTGTGCGGATGGAGGTGTAATCACAATACCACAATCTCTACACCAGCATGTGTAGTTTCGAGGTTAGGTCATTTCATCCTACCCTTCCTGGGTAACTAACGATACTCCCAATTGTTTATTATATAAAGGACTTTCTGTTTATTTCATAGTCGTTTACTCATATTTTCATTTCATTCGAACTAGTGGCCACAATTGTAATATCATTCTTGGCATAGTGGCTGTATTTCATATGTCATGAACACCTCTTTCACTTTAAAGCATCGTCATGGGTTATCAACAACAAGGAATTTCTAATCCAGATTTTTAAATACACATATGAGCAATTAAGAGTCTTAAGTACATTGAGTTTTCTTTCAGAATTTCATAATTACTCGCATTTGAAGCACAACTTGAAGTCATCACATTCACACACAAACCATACTTTGAGCACATTCTCGAATGATAACATAATATGACAAGAGCATTCAAAACATATTTTAAACATATATCTTTCGACGAAAAGCTTATTCATAATAGTCAAATTTATAATGAATAACTCGAGACACGAGAAATAACGAATTGACCCATCATACTTGAGACTTACGAGAACAACGTGGGATTCAATTCTAAGAGAGAAGTTTAGCAAACATACCTCGCTTTGAGCTTACCTTAATTTACTACAATATTCCAACACTACTAGCAATATCAATCTATAGAAAGATAGTGAAAATCGGATAATAATTAGAAGGATTCTCATGATATAACTCTCTTGGGAAGTTTGTCAAACGCCTATTATGCAAAATCAACTACAAAGCTCTGAAATGGTATTCCCTTTCTCCCTCAACCAATTTCAACAAGAAACTATCCAAAATAGTTCATCAATCCCTCCTACTAAAACCTAATGTCACATGCATGGCCTATCTCCTACTCTATAACCTAGTTAAACTCATAACAATTGGATGAAGGTTTTAGGACAAGGTCTTACCCGGGTAGATGATGGTCTAGTGAATGATTCCCACTGGGACAGGGATTGATGATCCATGCACTTAGGGATCCTTCGTCTCTCTCTAAAACACTTCTCTCTCTCTCTAAAATATGTGTTTTACCCAGCCAAAATAACCCCAAAGTCATTTTATAAGAAATGAGGTCGGGTTATAAAAACAAGAAAATGGACCCTCCGAACTCAACTTTGCGATCTCAAAGTGGACTGCAGAATAGGTATGCTGCCCGCAAAATGGACCACAAAAATGATCTCAAAAACTAGGCTGGTCTAGATAGGTCTATGGCAGGTCTACGGTCCGCATACCAATTATGCGACCGTGAAATGGACCGCAGAATCACACTTTAAAATCTTTCATGCTAAATCTGTGACAAAAGTGTGCACCACAAAACAGATATGCAATCTCATAATGGACCGCAAAAATATTCACATCCTCATCGATAATTGCGCGAAGCATGAACTGCAGTCGTTTGTGGATTGTTTCACTGGGTACAACCAAATCTTGATGCATGAAGAAGATGCATAGAAGACAACCTTCACTACGCCCTGGGAAGTTTACTGCTATAGAGTCACGTCGTTCAGTCTCAAGAACATGGGCGCCGCCTACATGAGGGCCTAGACGACCCTCTTTCACGACATCATTCATAAGGAGATTGAAGTGTATCTGGATGATGTCATCATAAAGTCTCGGAAGAGTTCAGAGCACTTGGACGATTTGAGGAAATCTTTCAACGCCTGCAAAGGTACAGTTTGAAGTTGAACCCATCAACGCGTTCGGTGTCCCCGCTAGAAAGATGTTGGGTTTCATTGTAAGCAGGAAGGGAATAGAACTGGACCCATCAAAAATCAAGGCCATTCAGGAATTGCCACCACCAAAGAGCATGAAAGATGTGATGAGTTTCCTGTGTAGATTAAATTACATCAGTCGTTTCATAGCCCAGCCCGCGGTAATCTCTAAACCCATTTTTAAGTTGTTGAAGAAAGATGTTGCCACAAAATGGACAGAAGAGTGTCAGAAAGCCTTCAACATAATCAAGGAGTATCTATCAAATCCACCAGTGATGGTTCCCCCAAACTCGGGAAGCCATTGTTACTATACTTGTCAGTTTTGGATAGCGCCTTCGGCCGTGTGTTGGGACAACATGACGATACTGGGAGAAAGGAGCAGACTATCTACTACTTAAGTAAGAAGTTCACGCTATGCTAGGCCAAGTACACTTTTATATAACGCATTTGTTTTGCTCGGACTTGGATTTCCCAGAAACTAAGGCATTATATGTTAGCATACACTACGCATCTGATATCGTAGCTCGACCGGCTAAAGTACATCTTCTAGAAGTCGATGCCTACCGAAAAGCTAGCTAAATGGCAAATTCTCCTCAGTAAATTGACATTGTGTATATAACTCAGAAGTCTATGAAAGGACAAGCCTTAGCCGACCACCTCACAGAGAATCCGGTGGATGGGATACTAAGACACTTACTACGTATTTTCCGGATGAAAAAGTGATATTTGCTGTCGAAGATATTGCCGAATCGTACCCTAGATGGAGAATGATTTTCGATGGAGCAGCAAACTTCAAAGGAGTCGAAATTGGGCAGTACTGATTTCGGAATCTGTACAGCATTATCGAGCATCGGCAAATATCAGATTCCTTTGTGCCAATAATATGGCTGAATACGAAGCATGCATACTTGGGATCAGAATGACAGTCAACTTGAATGCTAGAACGCTTTTGGTCATAGGGGATTCTAGTCTACTAATACATCAGGTCCAAGGGGAATGGTCCATCAAAAATGTCAAGATACTTCTGTACGTCACCGTGAGAAGGAGCTATGAAAGAAGTTCACAAAGATTGAGTTCAACCATGTCCCCAGGATTCAGAACGAGTTCGTCGATGCCCTTGAAACCATATTATCTATGATTCAGCACCCAGACAAGAACTACATCAACTTTATTGAGGTAGAGATCAGGGATCAACATGCTTATTGCTTCCATGTAGATAAGGAACCAGATGGTAAACCATGGTATCACGACATCAAGAAATTCCTTGCAACCAGAGAATACCCGGAGAATGCTACAAATGGTCAAAAGCAAGCCCTCAGGAGGCTGGCTAACCACTTTTTCCTCAATAGGGAAATCATGTACAAGAGGACCCCAGACATAGGTTTGTTAAGATGCGTAGATGTTGCCGAGGTAGTCGGATTATTGGAGGAGATACATGGAGGAATGTGTGTATCCCACATGAACGAGTTCACTTTTGCCAAGAAGATATTGAGATCTGGATACTTTTGGATGACTATGGAAAGCCACAGTATCCACTATGTGCAGAAGTGTCACCAGTGCTAGATTCACGGGGATTTCATCTGGGTTCCGCCGAATGAGTTAAACGTACTGGGTTCACCCTGGCTATTCGTCGCTTGTGGCATGGATGTGATTGGACCTATAGAGCCTACTACATTAAATGGACATTGTTTCATCTTGGTAGCTATCGACTATTTCACCAAATAGGTCAAGGCATCTACTTACAAGGCCGTCACAAAGAAGGTATTGGCAGATTTCATCTGAAACAACATTGTCTGCAGTTTTGGGATACCCGAGTTTATCATCACTGACAATGCTGCCAACCTCAACAGCGACCTCATGAGATAAATCTACGAGAAGTTCAGAATCGTCCACCGCAATTCCACAGCCTACAAACCACAAATGAATGGGGCAGTGGAGGCAGCCAACAAAAATATCAACAGAATTTTACAAAAGATAGTGGACAATCACAGACAATGGCACAAGAAACTACCTTTCACTTTACTGGGTTATCGGACTACCATGAGAACATCCAATGGAGCAACGCCGTATATGTTTGTATACGACATTGATGTTGTGATACATGCAGAGGTTGAAATACCATCTTTAAGTGTTACACCCTATACTTTCATATTAGAATTCATCTTTAGTGAATCAATATGATCCGGAGAGTTGAAGGACCTTTATAAAGATAATGATGGGTTAAAACAATTTTTTAAGAGTATCGTGAGGGTTGGAAGGTTAAGAAGCTAATCGAATCAAAGAAAATAAGTTTCGTCGAAAGTCGGCAAGTTAGGAATGTTATAACCCGTACATGTGGGGTGATACTAGGGTGTGTAAGATGATAAAAAGGTAATTCTATATGGTGTTTTAGTAGTGTGATAGTCGTGTTATGTTTTGAAGCTAAGCGAGTTATGAAATAAAAGTCGACAAAAGTTGTCGTAAGTTACGTTCATTATTTCACTGAAACTTAAGGTATAATTTTACTAAGATTTTCTATCAATGTACTTAGAATTACGGGGTTATCTACCCACAAAATTGAAGATCTACGAGTCTAGTTTCCAATGAATTAAATCGTTTATCGATATGAAATCAGAGTAGAGAGATATTTGTATTTTTGCGAGACTGCACAAGAAGCTCTGGTTGGGACCCACTTGAGACGGCCACGGACCTTACTTCTTTTAAAAGATGTTTCAGCCTCATTTCGGGTCATTTATCACCCAAAATTCGTCCAAAAAGCTCTCCAAAACCCTCTCTAACATATATCCTAGATCCAAGAACCGAACTCAAGGGAAATCAATTCAAATCATCATCAAAAGTGTTAAAGACTACAAGAGAACGTTTCTATACTGTTGTGGTGTGATTAAGGGCTATTGTGAGCTAAGTTGAGATGGGGTTTCAAGTTGTAGATGTTGTCCAAGGTATTTATAACATCTTCTTGATTGTGCCTAAGGTTAATCTTGTATTGGTTGTGTTGTTTGAGTGAAAAACCATAAGATAGCACTTGAGAGAACATGGAATATGGTTATCTTTTTGGTTGAACCGGTTTGGGGCAAAATATATGGTTTGTGGTGGCTGAAAATTATGAGAAATAATTTGATAATATTGTGGCTGTTGTTGTTAAGCTTTTCTAGGTGTTAATTAAGTTCATTGAAGAAGAAAAGGTGAAAAACAAGTGATTGACAATAAAAGTTAAAGTGCTAGGCGTCTGGGGCTGTTTCGGAAGGCATTTTGTGGATGTTTTGAACTAGGAATAATATAATACATATAAGTAAGATGTTGTGAAGGTTGTAAAATAATTTATGGAATGAGATTTGGATTCAGTTTATAATTTGTTATTAGTAAAAATAAGCTTGCCGCTCAATATGATTGTTAAGATAATTGTAGAAGCTCATATTGGATTATATGGTTGTTGTTGCTATTGTTGGTTATAGTTGTTGTTGTTGGGATTTTGATGACCTGAGTGGTCTTTGGGATGTATTAAAAACATGGGAGTTGCTGCCCGATTTTCCGTAAGCCATACGACTAGCCAAATACGATGGTATGACATTATATGTTGATGGCAATATCATTTCACTTGTTGTAGATGCAAGAAGTTGTGTTGAGCTTGGTTGAGTAATAAGGAAGAGATCATACGTGTATGTTAAGGCACTTCTTTATTTTGGCATGATCTAAATGAAATGAACGTAAACGATACGCTATTTCATAACGGATCTACTCCTAGCAACTAAGGTTTTCCATGTTGTTCTTTCCTTATAAAGTTATTCTAAGCAAGTATGTATGGTCCTTGAATCATATTGAGGTTCATATTGATGGTATGGATGTCCATTATGTTAATCAAAGGTGCAATGACCTTACGCTACTCCCAAAAGATTTAGAATGTGATTCTATGAGTCCAGCATGCATTATATATATGTATCTATTTTACTCTACCAAGTCATGCTATAGTCGGCCGGGTACGGCACCTAGTGTGCAACCACTGATCAGTAGGTTTTTACCGAGCTCCATGTGGCCGGGTACATTTTTACTGAGCTATTACGGCAGGGTAAGATATGATGATGATGATGCCCACAAAGGCAAATGGTTTTAAACCTTATGTATATATATGCATCATACATTTCATGTCAGTAGCCCTTAGAGGCACTCAGATGTTACAGATTGTATCTTCTCTATCTCTCTTTACATAGCGATTCTTATTCATACCGATATCCCTTTTTCCTGGGGACGCTGCATTTCATGCCCGCAAGTCCCCATAGACAGGTTGATGGTCCTCCTATTAGGCTATCAGCTCAGCAAAAGGTGTTGGTGCACTCCACTTTCTCAAGGGTTACCTATTTGGTCAGTATGCTTTGGACATGTATTGATTGGTATAGCGGGACCCTGTCCCGACCCTTATGACGTTTATGTACTCTTAGAGTATTGTAGATATATGTCATGTATAATGATGCTGGTAAGTCCTAGTCGGCATATGTTTTGAGAGTAAAAATGTTCATGTCGGCCTTATAGGCCCGTATGTCACATGCATAAGTTTGTATATCATTATGAGTATTCCTATATTGATTATTCCCTTATGTTTTATACTGGTTATCTCATGACTACCTTTCTGTCCCATTTATAAATGATTGTATGATAAAAATATATATACGCGGGGTACTCGGTTGAGTAAGGCACTGGGTGCCCATCGCGTACCTCCGATTTGGGTCATGACTTTAAGGGTCATTCAAGAGGCAAAATTATATGATGCAGAGTGCATATAGGTTAGACAGGAGCAACTCATGCTCATTGACAAGAAACGAATGGATGCAGTATGCCACGGCTAGCTATATCAGAACAGGATGGCCAGTGCATTTAACAAGAGAGTGAAGCCTCGCCAATTCACACCGGGCCGGTTGGTCTTGAAGAAAATCTTTCCCCTTTAAGAAGAAGCAAAAGGAAAGTTCGCACCAAACTGGCAAGGTCCTCATGTGGTTCACCGAGCACTGTTGGGTAGAGCTCTAATCTTGGAAGAAATGGATGGAAGAGTCAACACGAAGCCCATCAACTCAGACGCAATCAAGAGATACTATGTTTGAAGACAAATAGAGTTAGGTTTTTATATAACAGAACTACGTTCAACATGACTTCCTGCGAAGGGATACATAGTCAATCCATATAGGGTGAGGTTTCTCTCCCCCTTCTCTTGTAATAGAAAAACCAAATAGCACTTTTGTATGTTGCTCAGGAACTACACCGACTTGATTTCCTTGGAAAGGAATACATAGGAAATTCTCATCGAATTCAGTCGTCCTTTTTAATTGAACTACGTTCTGGCCTGATTCCATTTGGATACATAGGCAGTCTGAGTCAGACTCGGCCATTTTCATTCTTAAATCCCATAATTTTGTATCTGTTGTAATCGAACTACGCTTTAACCTGATTCCATTTGGATACGTAGGTTGCCTGAGTTAGGCTCGGTCATCTTCATCGTATTTTATAATAATCCATGAACTATGTTCAGACCTGATTCCATTTCGAATACATAGGCAACCTGAAAGGGTTCGGTCATAACCTTATGAAAGCCTTGTAATGCATTAGTTCAGATTAGGATGCAACCGCGACAGCAAGCGGCCGTGTTATCAGAAGCATCACTAAAAATCAACATCAACAGGATAAAGTTTTCAAGAGGATATGCTTGTATGTGGAAAACCTTTCGTAACATGTCTTAATCCGGAACAAAGTATTTTCAAAATGTTTTTAAAACCAAAAAACATATATATATACATATATACAGTAATTTATTCCATCTACCGAACTTTGTGGCGCAATCATGTCAAAGGCCGAGGCAAACCAACACT